TCGCTGCGGTCGTCGAATTTGCCGTTCTACGAGGCTGTGTGGACTGTTGCGAAGCGGTCTTGTTCGGGGTTGGTGGCGTTTGGGAAGAGGTTTTACTGGGCGAGGGATGGGGGGAGGACGGTGGATGGGGGGGAGGATGGGCGCAAGCGGCCGGATCTGGATAAGCGGAGGAGTGTGTATGTGGATATTGTGGCTGATGATGGGGAGGAGTGGGTGAAGGTTTCTACGGTTTCGGAGTCGAGGCTTTTGTTTGAGATGGCGAAGAAGGGGTGGGAGGGGGATTCGGAGTCCGGGTCTGATGCGGACGAGGGGGCAAGGAGGACGGTGTTACGGAATTACGAGGGGGATGGGGATGCGGGTGAGAGTGAGGATGATGAGGACGAGATTGAGCTCGTCAAGTTGGCGAGTGATATGAGAAAAGCGGCTAATGCGACGCGGGTGCAGTACAGACACCCGCGGCTACGTTTAGTAGTTCCAAAGCTGGAGAAAGGCAGAAGCTCAGAGATTGACGACCTTTTGAAGCTAATACGAAGCTATGGTGTTGAGATAGACTGTGGACCGAGCGTTCTTGGTCCCTGTCCTGAAGGACAGCCAGGGACGACATCTGAGGATTTGCGCCACCTTCTGCCCACGCCGTTCAAACGATTCACCCCAACGCTCAACGTGGACTGCACGCTGCTGCTTGCCGCTGTGTCGGATCTGTCGCATTTCAAAAACATCCATCTTTCAAACAACTTCCACCGAGCCATCCTTCGGCAGCTCGAAGTCGAGAGGGAGAGGCCCTTGCTACCGACGGAACTCTGGCCGGCAATGGATGGACACGAGATGGTGTGCACGGAGGAGGCGTTGAAGCGGATGCGCGAGATTGTAAGCATCATCGGGACCGACACCGAAAAGCGACGCACGGAAATCTTGATGGGTGATGGCCCTTATGGAGGCTGCGATCGTCAATCCCTCATCCAGAAGTTCCAGGAGCTGTCGGATTTCACAATACCACCACAGTGGAAGCTGCCAATCAGACCTGTGGATGCCAGCCCTGCCATCGAATCAGCCATCTCGAAGGGCAGTCTTCCCCCGATATCACACAAGATAACGGAGATATTGTCGGATATCAACTATAGCGTGTTTATGTATGGATGGGTAACTGGGACGGTTACCATATCCAGTAACCGCACCGTTGTCAAACAAATTGAAGCCATAATCGAGGCAGACAGGGATAATGATGAGGAGTTAGAGGGACCTTTGGTGTGGGTTTGTGAAACAGCTCGGAGTTTGGTCGGCAAGGAAAAGGACCGCAAAAGTTAAGTCTTGCGCTCTCGTTAGTCCGCAAGCATGATTAAAGCAGTGCCAGTGGTCCCCAGCGAGTCGATCCAGACCAGATGCAGAAATAAGATCGGACATTCCACACTTCGGAAAAAGCCCGCGAGCCACCGTTGTGGCCATTCTATTGACCTCTGTTATTTCTCGGACGGCTTCGTATTTTCTTCTGGAAGCCAGAAGACAACCTCCTTATCAGCGGTAGCAAGCATGTTATACCGTGGATTCGATTCGATGAGAGCAGTCCGGCCCCGGTGGGGTAACCTGGTCGCCGGCTGCAAATAGCTGTTTGGTTCCGGGGCTTGCTGTGTGTCCCAAACTAGAACATCCGGGCTGTCGCCAGAGCCTCCAACCGCGTATCGTCCGTCCGGGGTAAAGCATACATCGCCTTGACCGAGGGGCTTCCCCGTCGTTGATACCGGTGCAGCGCGCCCAGGGGACCCATTCTTGCCAACCAAAAACGCCTTCATGGTACCCTCGAAGGCGTCAAGGAGGAAGTGGCCATGATAGTCCGTCCCCACAATCAAGTGCTTCCCGTCATTGGAGAACTCCAGCCGCGTCCACGCTCGTCCGCGCGTAGACGGTGTGTGTTTTTCTTCGTAAGGTCCAAGATCGAAGGTGGAGAAGGGGGACTTGTCGTAGTTGCGGAAGTCGTACAGCAGAATCGACGAGGTTGACTGGGACGCAATCGCTATGACGGAGGCAGACGGGTCAAAAGCGACCAGGTACGGGGTGGCGATTTTCAGTTTCCCTTGGGCATTTCGCGAGCCGAGGTCCCACAGTGCAACGGTATCGTCCTTGGAGCACGAGATGAACGAATCGCTCCCCGGAGATAGCGCCAAACACGTCACTTTGTCTGTATGCCCCGAGAAGTACCGCACATAACCTTCGTTGTGGAGATCCAGCAGGCGCAACGAGTCTATACCGAATGAGCCAAGTCAACACGCACAAGGAATACGGCACGCCTACCATCCACTTTGGTACTCGCGTGAAGGACCTGCCGCGAGTGGTGGGTGAACCTCGCCAAATGCGCCCCATACTTCTTGCTGGGAACCGACTTAGTCGGTTTGCCCTCTTTAATATCAAATATCTGAATCATGTCATCGTCGCCAGAAGCCACTAGATAATCCCCTTGATCGTCGAAATCCAGCGAGGTCACATGGTTGGACGGTTCCTGCTTAGAGGTCTTGAAAGCCTGGGTGTGACCACAACCGTCAATAACCAATGGTTTGCGGAAGAAACGAGCTGCCTCCTCACCTTGACAGGACGATAGTTTCGAATGATATCCGACACTTTCTGGCAGGCCAGAGGAGCCGCGGACTGCTGCTGTTGCTGCTGTTGCTGCGCTGGAGGTACCTGCGGTGTCGAGTGGTGGCTTTCCGCCATGTTGACGATTCAAAGGAGGGAGCTATCTAAGAGACCTGTTCTGCGATGACAGTCAAAGCTAAAGCTGCATATTAGAGCAGCACAAGGTACCGAGTGCACGAAATCCCTAAGAAGTAACCTCCGACAGATCAATGGCGTAAAGCTCTCCACAGCAACAACGCGATCCGCCGCTACTGCTTTTTCGGAGCGCGCCCGGAGACAGTGGGGAAAAATAGATGTTCCAGCTCCAGCGGGTACTGTCGGTGCCGAGCTCCGAGAATCGGCGGCCTCAGGCCTTTTTCTCCAGTCCGAGAAGTTGGATCGAGCATCTTTGGGAACCAATCGTGCTTGTCAGAATCCAATCGGCGACTGATCAAGCTTCGCCTCCGCCCGTCTAACTGAGTTTGAAAAAATTAAGAAGTGGCGTATTTGGGATTATTATATTGCCGGTCGCATTCGCCCTCCGCTCAACTAATTCATTCTTGTTTCAATCGCGGAGTGGATTTGATATTAGACATTTTTGACAGCATTCCCCAGTTGTGATCACTCGCGCCTACGGGCTTGGTTCTCAAACCCCTCTTCACGACGTCCGCTTTTATACCCGCGATAGGCTGGACTTGTTCCATCCGCTCCGTTAACGGAGGCCGTCTGATATCTGAGTCACGATGTCCACGACAGTAGGGTGCGTCACTTCTGTACAACCCTTGACACCGCCGCGATAGCTAACGTGGAGTGTGCTATAGAGCGTTCATCGCAGGTGGTATTGCAGCATGTGGAGCTGTCACTGTTACGCATAGTTTCGAGACGGTGAAGATTCGGTATGGCCTTGTTTCCTTCGGCGTTCGTTACGTCCAGGGTCTTGTCGGTGCGCTAACACATCGTGTCTGGGACGCAGGTTACAGTTGCAGGGCGAATTACAGAAGAAGCACGAAGCGGCGAAGAAATACCGGGGTGTCTTTCACGGTGTTAAGGTCATCCTCCAGAATGAGGGACCGCGCGGACTCTTCCGCGGCATTGGCTGTGCTGTGTGTGACGCGCCCTGATATCGGACATTCGATCGGGACTAACAGGATGGTAGTATATATATCAAATGGTGCTCAATGGGTGCCGTTTAGGTTTCTACGAGCCGGTGCGCAAAACCGTCACGACCGCGGTTTACAATGATCCTCAGGTGCAGTCCATCGGCATCAACGTCTTCGCCGGTGCCTCCTCCGGCATCATAGGAGCTGCCTTTGGCTCCCCCTTCTTCCTGGTGAAGACCCGTCTTCAGTCCTACTCCCCGTTCCTCCCCGTCGGAACTCAGCACAAATATCGGAACATGTTAGATGGAATGCGACAGATCAAGTCCACCGAGGGACTTGGCGGACTTTACCGCGGTGTGAATGCTGCCATGGTGCGGACGGGCTTTGGAAGCTCTGTGCAGCTCCCCACGTACTTTTTCGCGAAGCGAAACTTGATGAAGCACCTGGATATGAAGGACGGCCCTGCTCTGCATTTGGCGAGTAGCACGGCATCCGGCTTTGTCGTGTGCTGTGTCATGCACCCCCCTGGTAGGTACCCAGTTTCGCAAGCGCAATTCCCCTCGCTAATTCTCATGGTAAAGACACGATTATGTCGCGGATGTACAACCAAACCGGCAACCTCTACAAGAGCGGTCTCGACTGCTTGATCAAGACCGTGCGCAAGGAAGGCATCTTTGCGCTCTACAAGGGCTACTTCGCTCATCTGGCCCGTATCCTACCACACACTGTACGTCCGATGCACCCCTGGGAAACCTGGAGAACGCGAGTTTCAGCCACAGATTGCTAATTTCCTTCCAGATCCTGACTCTCAGTCTGGCTGAGCAGACCAACAAGCTTATGCGTCGGGCGGAGGACCGGTTCCTCTCCGACTCGATGAAATCGAATTTGTAAATATGAAAGATTACATCGATAGAACTAACCGCAAACTCTGTTGTGGGAAGCCGACGTGGATCTTTCGGTCATTATCTAGATGAGGCATGTCGGCTTGGGTCGTGAGGTTATACATAGACATACATCTCCACTAACCATGCTACTACATCTTACACTTTCTGTACATATGCATCTAGGAGCGTTTTCAATTGATTGGTGATAGTATTTTACTTCTAGTTCAATTATCCGAAAACCGTCGACTTCTTACCTGGGTAGTGAGAAACGCACTGATATTAGCGATCGCTGATCCCGTGCTAAATCGGAGTATATGGCAAGGTAGGTGGTCAATGAGTATTTTGATTGCCAACTTAATTCCAAGTCCCTCTATTCATCATATTAATTAGGCAGTTTCCCCACACCAGTCTAGGCAAGGTGGCCGAGCGGTTAAGGCGCTAGTTTTAGGTTGTTACGATCTGATCACTAGTTTCTCTGATTCATGGGTTCGAATCCCATCCTTGTCAACCTTTTTTTTCAACTTTATTTTCTGAAAAAAAGAAACTTATTTTTGTCTTCTTTGCAGTAGTCAGATTATCGGAATGCATGACTGCTGATACATGCAGGCTTTTCTTAGTTAATCATGAGTAAGAATGGAATGTTAATCACCAATGTGGGTTGAAGAAGCACGCTTGAGTGGGGTAGCCGACCAGCTGGAGATTCCCTGCAGTGCTATGCCAGTTTATGCCATGCAGATAACAGTAGCAAATAGGGATAAATATTAGCTTGGTGGGGATATCAACATGGTATCTTCCAAGCCAAAGCTACAGGTCCATATTATCAACAAGCAGCAAGGCCATGAACAAACGGCAAGGCCGACTTCGGCAGGCCTTGACCCGCGGGGATCAGCCGCGAGACGCGTCTTTGCACCTCTAACGTCATAATTGAGGGTTTATTCTATCAGTTCACTAATGGCTTCAAACCCCCGCCCCCGCTGGTGGGTCAGGATATTCCCATAGGCCGGTACAAACGGCAATCATAGACTGTCTTATGCTGGAATCATCGGGTCTGAAGCTGCTACTCGCGTCCAGGTGTGGGACAAGGCTGTCCGACGCGTAAAACCACCAATAAATGCAACCGTGCCCGATGCCCAGAGGCTTACTGAATGATTATCAAATTTTTCGTCAGCCCGTTGATGTGGAGATGACTGGGTCTGGATCATTGCCATGGTGCCTACATGCTTCCTGGCGGAAGGCATCAGTCACATAGCAATCCAGGTGCATACTCCAATAAAGCAAGGGGGTGGGAGACACAAGGGAGACTGGAATCGGCGGGGTACTCCACTGCACCAGGCGAACGAGTGAGTCTTCTCGAATGCCGTGTCAAAACCTCCCAAAAATGAAGGGCGACGATCGAGATGGCATCGCATCAGATAAGATTACCGATTCATAGGCAACGCGACCATTGATACAATTCCTTGCCTAGGTAGGTTAGTTCGGTATGTGGGGGCGGGTGCAGCTGCCTAGCGAAGAGCGAGGATTCCAGCTGTGTTTCGAGGATGTGAGCTCGGATGGAGCTGAGAGCGGGTGGTCTGAAAGCGAACGAACTAATCACATCCGGATGAAAATCTGGGTCGGCGGGGGCTCGTGCAGCGAAGGGGGACGGCAGGAAAACAGAGACGTGTAGGAGTGGACGGGGGAGACGCGACGCCAACAAAGAAAATCGACCGGATAGTGTACCTTACATAAGATCGCCCCAACCACACGTCCGCCAAATCACGTGCGACGTGACTTAGCCCGTCGCGCTAGCCGTCACGCTCCTCGTCCGAAGCAAGTATTTCTTCCTCACTTTCCCCCCTCTCTTCCTTGGTTTTTCTTTCTCCATCCATTCCCTCAATTTAATAATACGGAGTGCTACAGTTTCTGCTTTGCTCCTTCTATTGTCTAGTTCAGTCTACATAGCCTTGCAGTACTCTCACAATGTCTGCCCAAGTCACTCCCTCTAAGCAGGTACGTGATGTCACGCTTGTGGCCACCGGCCTTGACGCGTCTTTGGAAACCCACAACGTGCTAATAAGATCGATCAATTGAATAGGCTGCATCTTCCCTCGAAAACCTCAAGATGAGCGACTCTCCTGTGAAGAAGCTCAACTTCGAGTCGGCTGGCAAGGAAAACGCGCCCTCCGCTCGCGTCGACGCGCCTGCCGGCAAGATCGTGGAGAAGCCCGCCCAGACGGTCACGACTACCCCGACTGCTAAGGAGCTGGAAGCCACTGAGCCTCTGCTCCAGGAGAACCCTCATCGCTTTGTTCTCTTCCCCATCAAGTACCACGAGGTGAGTGGCATGTCCATTACGCGTCACGCGTAAAGTGGAAATTTTTTTCTATTACCCGTTTTGACCGCCCTTGATACTCGCGCGTCCGCTAACGCGTTTATTCTCCGAACAATTAGATCTGGCAAATGTACAAGAAGGCCGAGGCCTCTTTCTGGACCGCCGAGGAAATCGATCTCTCCAAGGATTTGCACGATTGGAACAGCCGCCTGAACGATGATGAGCGCTACTTTATTTCGCATGTCTTGGCTTTCTTTGCCGCGTCCGACGGCATTGTCAACGAGAACCTGCTGGAGCGCTTCAGCAACGAGGTGCAGGTCCCCGAGGCTCGTTGCTTCTACGGTTTCCAGATCATGATTGAGAACATTCACTCGGAGACATACTCGCTCCTCATCGACACATATATCAAGGAGCCCAAGCAGCGCACCCACCTCTTCGATGCCATTGATACCAGTATGTTGCACCGGTCCTTCGTGTGTGGCCATTGACAGATAACTAACATTAATTCAAAGTCCCTTGCATCAGGAAGAAGGCCGACTGGGCCATCAAGTGGATCCAGGACAAGGAGTCCACCTTTGCCTCGCGTCTCGTGGCCTTTGCCGCTGTTGAGGGCATCTTTTTCTCTGGTTCCTTTGCCTCTATCTTCTGGCTGAAGAAGCGTGGCCTGATGCCGGGTCTTACCTTCTCCAACGAGCTGATCTCTCGTGATGAGGGTCTCCACACCGACTTCGCCTGCTTGTTGTTCTCGCACTTGAACCACCGCCCGAGCAAGCAGGTTGTGGAGGATATCATCGTGGAAGCGGTTGCGATCGAGAAGGAGTTCTTGACGGATGCCCTTCCGTGCGCCCTGCTGGGTATGAACTCCAAGCTGATGTGCCAGTACATCGAGTTCGTCGCCGACCGTCTTCTGGTGGCTCTCGGCAACAAGAAGTACTTCAATGCCACCAACCCCTTCGACTTCATGGAGTCGATCTCTCTGGCTGGCAAGACCAACTTCTTCGAGAAGAGGGTGGGTGACTACCAGAAGGCCGGTGTCATGGCCAGCACCAAGAAGGACACCGAGAAGGAGGAAAGCAAGACCGCCACCGGTCTTAGCTTTGACGATGATTTCTAAACCACTCCCCCCACATATACCCGGCTGCTCGTCCAGCAGCAGCCATTTTATACGAGCCCACTGTTTGACATTTTCTTCTGTTTTTTACATTCCCCTCTTGTTTTTTTGTTTTCCTTTTTTTTTTTTTGTCCGCGTTAAGTGATTGATGAAGCTACTCTGAGGTATACGCATGGGACTGGCGTTGGAAAGGCGGTAATTTTTTTGTTCGATGTATTGTGAGAATCCTGTCTAGCTGTCGCCGGATGGGCAGTTGACTGTATCTAAAATACTATGGTGTACATTGATTGGATAGTTATGATTTTCTCATAGACTGTGTATGAACCGTAGCAGCATTCCTATAATATAAGTATCTTGACGAAAGGTGCTGGCGCCCAGGGCATTTAATCCTATCAAAGCGAGCCTCAAATGGTCGCCATCCATACCCCTGAGTATCAGACTGTCGCCGCATCATCGGGTATCGTATCTATTATTCATGATTGCGTAGTTGTGATCCATCCATCTCTCGAACCCTAACCGTCCAGCTTTTCCACAGCAACGCATCACAGTCTTTCAGACTGGTAGATATAAGGGAGAACACGGAAGTAAAGCAACTGCCCCACCCCACTCATTATCTGTGGAAAACAAAGAGTCCCTCGGGTCTTGGGTGGTGTAGATGAACCACCAGAAACCGTACCCCCGCAACACAGTCAGTCACATTATACGCACATCCACACCGCCCCCCCCAACAATCCTACCCATCTCACCTCCTCCCCTTCCCACCCTTCTTCTTCCCTTTCCCGCCCTTCCCACCGGCGTCCCCTTTCGGAGGCGCAGCAGCAGCAGCAGCGGGAACAACAGGCGTCGACGCACCCGCACTAGCATCCTCCGGCGCATCAGCCATCTCCACATCGGCCGCGGCAGGCGCAGCAGGCACAGGATTCGACAGACCCAGCTCGGCGACGCTGGCGCCGGCGGCTAGCTTTCCCAGACTTGTGATCAGACGGCCGACTTCGGCAGCTTTGTTGGTGCGGTACTTGAGGCAGATTCCGGTTGTGGGGTTGTAGGTTTTGAGGGTGAGGTAGGCGAGGGGTGTGGTGGGTGTTTGCGGGGTGGTTGATGTGGTGGTGGTTGCGGTGGGGGCGGACGAGGAGGCGAGCTTGGATTTCTGTTTTCGGGAGGTGTTGGAGGGGCGTGTTGAGGGGAAGTTGTATTTTGTTGTCATCCGGGTCTGTGGGGGGTGGGTGGGTGGTGGTTAGTTATGTTGGTTTGAGACTTTTTTTCCCTTCTTGAATGACATTGAGGTGAATTTGATATTTGTCTATCCCCTCCTTTTGAACTCTTGTCCTTTTGTTCTTGTTTCTTTTTTTTTTTTTTATTTCGAAAGGGAGTAGACAGTCTTGAGATTGAGTCTCGGTCTTTTATAACGTACCGTGTCCGGATATGCCTGAAGTAACAGCGCAGACTGTTCCAGGTAGGCGTGCGACGTGGGGAGGAGTGGCATGTTGAGTGTGGTTCTTTCGTCTTGAATTGGTGGGGCAAGAGAAAAGAATAAATACTGTTGAATGAACAACCAGGGTGGCAGTCCGGCGAGAACAGTCAATGCAAAGATCGTAGGTGGTGTATGGAGTGACGGAGGTGGAGTGCGGGAGCTGTGAGTGTCAAGTCGGAGTTGGACTCGGCTGGTGGTCTTGGCGTTATACTACCAGCTACTGGACGGTGTACTTAGCTCTTTCAGGATGTGGTTATTGTTTGGTCATCTTCCTTGCTTAGACAGGGTATAATTGTATAATTTATTCTGGTCAATAATGCTGGATACTATGAAATTCTACGACAAGACTAATTTGGATGTTCGTGTCATGGTCACATGACTTGTCTGTATCCTGCCGTCCAGCCCAATCTATATCCACACTCACCACTTTGGCACTTTCTTCGCAGTTTCTAGAACTCTTTCACTATCTCTGTCGCTATGTACTCTGACTATATCGTCTCAAACAGTTTGTAATATATCATATTACACCCAAGATATGTGGCATCCTTTCGTTGTGGGACGTACAGACACTAAGAAGCATGGAAGCCACCAGAGCAAGTCTCAATGAAAACACC